CCCGTAGGATTGATAAAAATATTTGTTCGAAAAATTTTTTTACAAGTTTTTCCCCCTCCCTCCCTTCGGACGGTGTGGTAAAAGTAAAGTGAAAGTTACAAAGTAAATAAGGGAGAATTAAAATTATTTTCGTTGAATGGAAAAGTTCGTAAAAAGCGCGTTACAACTTCTTTGAAAAGGATTAAAGAGAAAAAAAAAAAAGAGGAAAAAAGAGGAATATTTTATAATTTCAGATAAAATTGAAAAGAGATTAAAATAGAGATTAAACACGAATGCGTGAAATATGCGGGAAAAGAAACGATGTCGTAAAAATTGAACGATACCGTGAAAAAGAAATCGAATTAATTTGCATCGATTTCGATTAAATTTTAATGTTAAAATTTCAGTCTTCCACGACTTTGCCCGTGCAAGAGGCAAACGACGAATGAAACGAAATCGGTCGAATTCGTAAATCGAAACGACTTTGAACACAATAACACTAATTTAATAGATTTCCACGCGAATAACGTGAATAATAAATAAACTCGATTTCAATGATAAAAGTTTCGGGCAAAATTTTGAAATTTTGAAATAAATATATTGCAAAGGCTTCGAGTATATATAGTTTCACAAATAATAATGGCTTCCTTTTGTGACGCATCTATCACCTCCATAAAATACAAACATTTCAGTTTGTCTCGTCGTTTCGACCCAGTTTTTCCCTATATTCTAACTTTCAAACTAAATGATACCAACTAACATTCATAACAAACAACGTATCGTAAAACGATCCACCGCATTTTATTTATCTTATTTTCGAAAACTTATAGAAAACTAATTCCCTAAATTCCCTTTCGAGAGATTCGTTACAATAAATATATTTGCCTTATTTTTCGAACTTAAACGTAGAATAGAATCACTGCAAAGATTCGTTGTAAAAGCTACAAGAAAAGTTCGATGCCTCGATTGATAATCCGAAAAACGGCTCGCGAAAAGTGAAATTGCCTTATCGTGCGTTTAAGTAAACAGCAGTCGTAATTTGTTTCATTTCGGTGGAACGAAGCACCCTGCTGCAACCGTACGCTGAATTCGGTACGCACAGTGTTTGCCAATTTCAATGCAAATATAGCAGATCTTCCCTACCTGTGCAAACGTATCACCCACCTCTAACCTATTGGCCTTGCTCGAACACGCTGTGTTTGCGCTCCCCCGAGACTACAAGACTCGGTTACACCATCCGCAAATCCGGCGGATATGCTTCCACGATTTAACGCCCGCGCTTCAAAAATCTTATATTCGCTCGTGTAGATTGTCGAAACGGCGACGATCGAGACGACGCCACCTGTATCGCGTGTATCACCTTGTCTATGTCTTTCGACGTTTCCAACAATTCGAGAAGTGGATATCACGTCGATTAAAAAAGTTTAATTGGATTATGAACTTTTATATCGAGTGTATATATATATATAAAGATAAAAATAAGGACAAACTTTAACGATGAGGATTGTAAGTTGTTACATCACGATCATCGAGTAACATCCAAGTTTTACATTTTCTACGCAATGCAATGTATTGTCTGGAATTTTTTCTTTTTTTTTTTTAAGTATTCCAATAAAAGCGAAAAATATAAAAGATTAAAACCAAAGTGACGTTCAAATGTATCCGTGCATCCGTGTTTGAGAGAGTTTGAAATCGTGTCGATTAAAAAAAAAAAATAAAAAGGATTCGTTGGGATTCGATTCCAACTTTTTAACTACCCGAGTACGAGAGTAAAGAAGATACAAAAATGAAAAGTGGATATAAACTTGGATGAGGATTGAAACTGACCATTCGTCCCGTTTCCCAGGAGTATCGACTTGTTATCCTCGCGCCGCCACATGATGTTTGGCGCCGGTGATCCTGTCGCTTCGCAGTGTAAAGTCACTTTACTGTTTTCCGGCACCACCATGTCGGTGCTGGTTGGGTAGTCCAGAATATTCGGCGGAACTGTACAACATCAATATGGAGAAAACGGTTATTATTCGTACATCTTTTATTTATTTGATCATCTTTTATCTTATCCAATTAATACAAATACGGTATTCGAAAAATAATTGAACCCGAAGCGAAAGAAAAAGGGCTGATTAAAATCATCCCTGTGAATATTCTTCTATATACCCTTCGGAGGAACAGTGTGGGAAATCGTCGTCGTCGTCGTCGTCCCTTTGATACTCCACAACAAAGAGGATCGGAATTTCGGTCAAAGAATAAACACAAGAGGCTGGCTCCTTTTGAATATTCGCGCCATTCAAACCGACACATCCTTTTTAAAAATTACCCACGTCTGAGACGTGGAGAAAGCAGCAGAGAGGGGATCCACCCCTTTTGTCTCGTAATTTACTAACGCCACCTTAGTAAATTTCAACCACTCGTAAATTATTCGCTATAATAATAATTCTAAGCCATCCTGATTCGCGTTACACGCTTGCATCTTTGTTGGGAGCAGACATTGTGTTACAGGCGCACGTTTGATATCATCCACCAGAGCTCGGCTTTCCAACCCTTCCCCCGTATTGTACGTTTCTATCATCCCTCTCTCTCTCTCTCTCTCTCTCTCTCTCTC